AAAAAAAAAAAAAAAAAAAAAAAAAAAAAAAAAATATACCGTCGAATTGAATACCTCCTTCTTTTGGGAAGTCGGTCAAAAAATAGATTAGTTTGATAAATGACGCATGAAGTATCGAATTCAATTTGTATGAAGGCAAATGCCATTAATGGACAGGTATCGTAGTGACGAAACACGCAGCGAACAATTTTTAACTATCGATATTCGGTTTAAATAATTATCAAACTCAACTAAAATTATTATTTTCTTATTCACTAATTTAGAGGACAATTCTGGTATTGATTGTAGTGTAGTGAATTTAACGATGACAGATATAATAGCGAAATCCAATTCGATTACGTACGGCTGTAGTAGTAATATTTATTTACTCTCATTATTTTTTATGGTCATTATTAATATGAGAAAACATTGTTTTTTTTTATTTCTTAAGTTATAACTAAAAAACTATCGATTCTAACTTCTATAAGAATAAAAATCGATAAGATTCATGATTTTACACAACCCATCCCTACTAAATTTGAAATGAATTGTCAAACTAATCTAAATTATTTAGACACACTATATACTATAATCAAGTTAATAAGAGAGAAGTAGGCAGTACAATGAAACAAATTGCATTTAAAAATGTATTTATTCAATACAATTGAAAATAAATACATGGAATGATACAATATAAATAAAAATAATTTACAATATACAATAATAATTGAAAACATTCATACATATTTATAATTACTAGATGGTTCTTAATTTTTTTTTCGTATCTATACTATAACTTACTAGCTTACGCCCGCGAATCTGCATTGAATAAAAAAAAATATGCCAATGTGTTCTTCCAGACTATAAATGCCTGTCCCACCACTGGCTGATAGAGGCTCAGATAGCTTAAAAACGTCACTATCAGATAAGGTAACAAAATCCGATATTTCCATCACATATTTTACACGTTGGATTATCAGACAATGTACAATTTGATGGGACAAGTGGTTAATTATTTAAATTCTTACTAATATTATAAATGTGAAAGTTTAGATGTATGTTAGTTTGTATCCTAAACTGCTGAACAGATATCGGTGTATTTTCATACATGTAGAGTCTGGAAGAACACATAGGATGCTTTTTTTTGTTTTTGTTTTTAATTCACGCAGGTAAAAGTTACTAGATTACATAAATCTTAGTTTAATATCATTGTTTTACAATATCTACAAAATTACATAAATTTATATATAAAATTACGTTCATAAAGAAAATAAAAAAAAAATGTTCAATCTATTCCAAATTCTAAGTAACAATTATTTAGATAACATAGTTAATTGGAAAAATATAACGTACTAGCTGTTGCCCCCGACTTCGTCCGATCTTGCACCATTCACAAACTACGGTATCACTGAGTAACATAGCCCATATTTTCACTCTTTCTTTTAATTTGACGCAGGTGAAGTCGCGAGCAACAGCTATATTTATAATATCTCATTTATTTTAACAACAAAACTAAATCTCTAATTTTTTAAAACGTCACAAGTCATCATCCACTTGCCCTTATCCCTATAGAGGGTCGGCACAGTATGTGCTTTTCCATACATCTCTATCAGCCGTATCTGAAATACACTCCTTTCTTAAGCATATCCTCTTTCACACAATCCATACTTTCTTTTTTATTTTTAAAAGGTCACAAGTAAAAAACAATAAACAATAAATATATTTCCCATTAAAATGGATCACAATTGGATTTTTCCCATCGGTTTGAATGGGAATTTATTCATTTAATTTAATTTGATACATAAAATTATGAAATATCTTTACTAAGAGTCTCCGATACCGGTTTCTTTGGTTCCCTTTTTATTTTCTTTTTATTTTTAACTTCATAGTATGTCGTATTATATGATCCTTCAGTTTTATCAATTCTGTAAGAAAAAGGAACATTAAAAACATTCCAAAAACTTTAAATTGAATTGGATAACATTTTAAGAATACTTTAGGTCCTAGGAAAAGTTTTGAACACTAAATTCTAAGACATCTATATATGCGATAGTTTGTATGTATATTTGTATCCTAAATTGAATGGATCTGGATGTTTGTATATGTAGAGGGTAGTTTGAAACACATAGGCACATAACTATCGATATATTTTTTATAATATAATGTGGCAAACTAACAAGCAGCCTGAATCTACCGACATGTAAAGCGACCGCTGCACATAAACATCCGCAAATGCAGCGCTGCCTACCCTTCATTGACGGAGACGCACATAAAGAGGACATTTCCCCTTCCTATGCGTCTCCACCGTCAAATACACTTTTCCTTCCCATCCTTTCCTCTTAAGAAAATGGTGGAAAGGGACTAAAATGAGTCCTCCAGCAGCACATTGATCAGTAGGCGGAATATCTTCCACTTGCCGGCTGTCTGAGGTCGTGGTATTGCTGACAGTGCAGGCTGCACTGCCGACATGTTAGAGCGGCCTCTACCACTGTTAAGTTATTGTTTTAACTGCTATTTAAAAAAAAGATTATGTTGGGGCCCATATAATATTATAAAGAGGAAAGATTTGTATTTTTGTATGTATTTGAATAACTCAAAAACTATTGGGCCAAATTTAAAAATTCTTACACCATTAAAAAGCTATCAGTGAGTAACATAGGCTACATTTTTACTATGTTTATTCCACACAGACAAAATCGCGAGCAATAGTTAGTCATGTAGCATTTCTATGTTGTAGTGTTACATATTAAGAGCCTGTTCCACCAAATTGTGATGAAATATCGGATTTTGTTCCCTATCTGAGTCTTTATCAGCCAGTGGTGGGAAAAGCCCTTAATATTATTTTATTTTTATGTTTTGGTAATTTTGACCCCTTTTATAATACTCACCCGTGCATAAATCTCATATGGTTTTTAACATCTATAAGCCGTCTATACTGTTTACTGCAGAGCGGACAATCAGCTACATATTTTCTTATTTTATGTTTATTCCATAAATGATCCCATTTCTCCTTACAAGTGTTGAATTTTCTATTACACACGTGACATGTGAATAGAAAATTTATATGTCGAACTTGTATATGTCTTTTCAATCTATGCTCAGAGGGAAGTATTTTATCGCATTTTGGGCATTGCATTGATGTCATAGGTTCGTGATTCTAGAAGAGACAAGTTTTTTAATCACTATATCATAGCTTGCTATATGTCCCCATTGAGGGGAGCCTACCCTGAGTATGATTAGGCCATAAAAAAGATGACTAGGCCATTAAAAAGGTGACTAGGTCATAAAAAGGTGACTAGGCCATAAAACTAGGTCATATAAAGGTGACTAGGTCATAAAAAGGTGACTAGGTCATAAAAAGGTGACTAGGCCATAGAAAAGATGACTAGGTCATTAAAAAGGTGACTAGGCCATAAAAATGTGACTAGGCCATTAAAAAACGGTGACTAGGCCATAAAAAGATGACTAGGTCATTAAAAAGGCGACTAGGCTATAAAAAATCTGACTAGGCCATTAAAAAACGGTGACTAGGCCATAAAAAGATGACTAGGTCATAAAAAGCTGACTAGGTCATAAAAAAGGTGACTAGGCCATAAAAAAGGTGACTAGGCCATATTTAACCTGCACTGCGGGTTGACTTCACACATATCTTTGTTTTTCGTGCATCGTGAATGACATGCAATGAAAAATATCGGTGAATAAATTCAAAGATATGTGTGAAACCAACCAACCCGCAGTGAATAATGGTTGACTATGGCCTAGTCCCTAACTTAGGGTAAGATCCGAGCCCTTTAAGTTATAAACACTATACGTACCTTTAAATGTCGTATAATACTCGTCTTAGCACAAAACTTTCCACCGCACAGATCACAGATATAATTATGTTGATTATGCACTTTCCTATGTTTACTAAAATTACTTGAATCACTAAACTTTTTATAGCACAAAGAACACTGATATATCCTGATATGGGCATGTTCTCGGACATGCTGTCTCCAAGTTGACAACTCCTTGATTTCCTCAGCACACATGGGGCATTTTAGCTGCCCACCTTCGGCAATCATCTTCACTTTAGCTTCATGTAATAGATGTTCGGTTAAATGTCTCTTGCTGTCATTTTTTCTTACATTAATTTTAGAACATACTATACATTTTTTGTTCTTATGATCTCTGCTTGTGTCCGATAGGATAACTGAAAATACAGACAAAAATACAATTCTTCTTTTTAATATTAGTTTAGATAGCTATACTATGCGACGAAATGATGGGGACATAAACCAGAAAGTGTTATAAATGAATGTGGATGGCTACAAAGAGGAAGACCGAAGAAAGTATGGATTGTGTGAAAGAGGATATGCTTAAGAAAGGAGTGGATTGAGATATGGCTGATAGAGATGTATGGAAGAGCAGCACATACTGTGCCGACCCTCCATAAGGGATAAGGGCAAGTGGATCTATATGATAGATCTATTATAATAAAGCGTAAACACACTCTTCTTTGTTGCCTAAGACGTCAGCAATTACAGCATGTTTTTGAATAACTCTTTTTAATAAAAAACCCTACACTTACATCATGCTTTAGGCTATATATTTTCCCCCCATTAAACTTAAGGGGTAAATGTTTTGGATAAAAACCCTAATGTGGGAAAGAGACCATAAGTTGTTGCCAACATTAAGGAAGCAAGATTGTCATCATGTCATGTCATTTTGACATTTGCAACTGATAATTTGACAAGTTTGAACAAATGTGAATAAAATGAATTTTTTATAATTTTATGCGGATGAAATCGCATGGGAACAGCTAGTTATAAATATATCATCATCACCAGCTCACTATACGTCCCCACCGAGGGGCTCGGAGTCTACCCTAAGTAAGGGTGACTAGGCCATAGTCAACCACGCTGGCCCACTGCGGGTTGGTTGACTTCACACATAACTTTGAATTTCTTCGCCGATATGTGCAGGCATCACGATGTTTTCCTTCACCGTAACAACGTCGGGTAAATTATGTACATATGTAAATTCGAAAAATCGAAAATCACACTGGTACAGCGGGATTCGAACCCAAGACCTGTAGATTACAAGTCAAGTGCTTAAACCACTGAGCTACCGACGCTCTTTACTTATAGATATATCAGCTCTTTGTTTTGTTGCTACATTGTGTAAAATTCTCAAATAAGAATGGAGGCCTTTGCTATTGGCTAAAATTTTAGTAACCATGGCAACCTTGTTTCTTTCCTATTGGTTTATAGTTTTGTCCCTTTTTCATAGAACTTTTTTTCCAATTTACTGACCCTTTACGTTTAATAGCGTGAAAATATATAGCTTATAACATGGCGTAAGTGTAGGGCTTTTTATTAAAAATATAATTATTTCAAAATATGCTGTAATTGCAGACATCTTAGGCAACAAAGAAGTGTGTGTTTACGCTTCATTATTTTAATAAGTACTAGGTGCTACTCGTGACTTTGTCCACGTGAAATAAAAACACATACCCAAAGTTAGTTACCTTTCTAAATATGAAAGAATTAAAATCGGTCCAGTAGTTTTTGAGTTATTTCAATAGTTACAAAAATACAAATCTTTTCTCTTTATATTAGTATAGATATATGTGTATTATAATAAAATATCTTACCTAAAGCTCGTTTTACCATTTCAGGTGTCATCATACTTTTCAATTCAGAGACATTTTCCGACACCTCATCGACTGCAACTTCAATTAATTCCAAATGAGATTCCCAATGTATGAAAAAATTGTCAATTTCAACGACATTATCACAAACATAACATAAAAAAGTATTGTTATTTATATATTTTTCGGAATCTTCAGGTATTGTAAAAAATAATTCATGTATATGCGTTAAAATGTGTCTTTTAAGGTTATGTAGAACGCTAAATTTCTTATTACACTGAGGACAAGAGAGATATTTCAATTTATGTTCTGGGAAATGTTTTAAATACGATTTCGTATCGGAAAATGTTCTCTTACAATATGTACATTTCATATGTTTACGACAACTCAATAAATGAGCTATAAAATCTTCATAATTGCCGTTATATCTGCAATTTTTACAACAATATGGATAATCTGTTTGTACCATTGTTATCTTATAATCAGATATTTCCATTTCGAATTCTTCATTATCTAAATTATCATTTTCAATTTTAAAATCTAATTTTTCAACATTATTAAGAAAATCTACAACTGAATTTTCTTTAATTTGAGTTTCTTCTCTAATTTCATTTGAGATATTTTCAATTGTATTATCTTCTCTTTTGATTTCTCTTACACTCTCATTTGTATCTTGTACTTCTATTTCATTATTATCTTCATTACATTCTATTTTACTTGTAGTATCTGTTTCATAAAACATATTAGAATTAAATCTATTTATCATATTAATATCAGGAACATCTTCACAAATCGAATCTATTATTATTTCTGATGTCTCACTATCGGTATCTGATATCACAAATACTTCTTTCTTTTCCTCAATAATACAAACATCATTATCTTCTATCGGATCATTAGCTTCTTTATCTAGAAATTTCTTATAAATACTAGATGTTTTAAACAATTCAGATATTTCATTATCGATTTCAACATCTTTCTTTATTTCAGCGTCTAATTGTTGTTGAAACGCGATATCAGATTCGATATCATCTTTTGAATTCTTCACAATTGAATGCAGCGTTACTTTCTTAGTTATTTTTTTATTCAAATCACTCTGTTCAACATTCTTAGGTTGATTTTGTATTTCTGTTTTCTTTTTCTCTTTTATTTTCTTTTTATTACGTGAGTTTTGTATATGTATTTTGTAAATTAAAGCTAGAAGTTTTGGTAATGTGTAATTTGTGTACCCTACATTATCTAAATATCCAAGTAAATGGCTACCTGAAATATACAAATATACATTAACTAACGCTAAAATTATTAAATACATAATGCGATGGAAAGGAATGTGGATTTAACGGTAGAGGAGACACGCGAAATGCGAAAGTTTAGATTTTTTTTATATAACATAAGGTGGCAAACGAGCAAGCGGCCACCTGAAACCGCCAAAATGGCGAAGCGACTGCCCATAGACATCCGCAATTGCAGATGCATTGCCTTAATTGCACATAAAGAGGATATTTCCCCTTCCTATGCATCTCCTCCACCGTCAAATCCACTTTCTCTTCCCAACCTCTCCTTATAAGAAAAGGGTGGTAAAGAGAAAGGGACTTAAAAGGCCTCCGGCACCACACTCATCAGACGAATCACGGAATTGTTTCCATTTCACGCCTGTCTGTGTGGTCGTGGTATTACTGGGGGCGTGCCGGCCTTGCAGTGCTAAGATGTTCAAGCGGGCACTAACACTGTTAGATGGATGTGTGTTAGAGTTTGTAGCCTAAACTGCTGAAAAGAATTCGATTAAATTTGCCATAGATATAGAGGACAGTCTTGAAGAACACATAGGCTACTCCGTCATCACCATCACCAGCTCACTATACGTCCTCACTAAGGGACTCGGAGCCTACCCTTATAAAGGGTGACTACCCCATAGTTAACCTGGCTCACTGCGGGTACTCACTTTTTTTAAATCCACGCGGACAAAGTCTAGGGCGAAAATTAGTGAATTAAAAAAATTATAACTTACCAGATATATCAAGAGGAATAGCACTATCATATACAATTCCTTGATAGCATTTCATAGGCAATAACATCTGAAATATATAAAGAAAACATTAATTTACAAAAAAAAAAATAGGATAAAAAAAATAAAAGTAAACATGGGTATTGCCAAGGGGATGTGAGACGACATCCTAAAGAATCTAAAAAATGGACAAAAAAAACGCTTCAAAATACTAATTCAGTACTAAAATAGTTCATCCACACAATCCATACAGAAAACTCAAAAACTACTTATTAGTTTTTCATTCAAAAATTGGACCACAGCTATCTATACTAATATAAAGATGAAACAGTTGTATTTTTTGTGTTGAAATAACTCAAAAACTACTGGATTTAAAAAATCACAGAAAGTTATATCTGTCCAAAATAACCTATATTTTTCATTATATTTTTATTACACGCCGAGAAAGTCGCAAGCAACAGCTTGTATCATAATAAAAAACAGATAAACAAACTTGAAATTACTAAAACCACTATCTAAAAAACTATAAAAAAAATAAAAAATTTACATTGAAATTAAAAAAAAAAACACTACTATACGTTTTACAATCTTACTTCTTACTAATATTATAAATGCAAAAGTTTAGATAGATGAATGGATAGATGGATGGATGGATGGATGGATGGATGGATGGATGGATGGATGGATAGATAGATGGATGGATGGATGGATGGATGGATGGATAAATGGATGTTTGTTAGAGTTTGTAGCCTAAACGGCTGAAGGGATCTCGATGAAATTTGGCATAAATGTAGAGGATAGTCTGGAAGAACACATAGGCTAATTCTTTTTTTTTTTTATTCCGCGCGGACGGAGTCGCTGGCAAAAGCTAGTCTTTTAAATAAAACTTACCTTAACAGTATAGCGTTTTTTTCTAACATCAGTTTCATGTTTCACCATATGTCTAGCAAAACGACTTTTGTCAATGTAAAGTACGTCGTATTTACATTTATTACAATATTGTATAACACTGTAATTACAAGAATGTTCTATCAAATGTTCAATAAGGAAGCAATTCCTAAAATTTCTAGAACAATCTGGACACTTAGTAAAACCTTTATTCATAGACATATGTAACTCTTGTAACGGTTTCGATACATATTTATTCCAACAAAAATCACATTTAAATAACTTGGGACGCTTCGGACAATCATGGTAAGCAACAAAATAATATTTCTCCTCACATAAATTGCATATCTTTGTCACTATTACTGCTGGGTCATCCGATTTTGGTGTGTGATACAAAATTTTATGTCTATACAAAAGGTCTTTATTTGCAAAATACATAGGACATAAATTACATAACAGACCATCATGTAAATTAGATTTACATGTATTTTCATGTTGTGCCAACTCTATGCAAGTTTTAAAATCCATCCAACATGAATCACAAGTATATTTCGATAATACTGTTAAAGCATGGCTTTTGTATGGTTTATCACATTTCCAACAATTACTATTTATTGTTATTGTATTATTTAGTTTTGGGTAATTAATACTTGCGACTATATTCCCTTCGTTACCAACACCTTCGAATGATATTAAAAATTGTGGGTGTTTATGAATTATTATATGTTGTTTAAACGGATTCAATCTCCACCATCCCTTATTACATATATAACATTTGTATGAAAGGGGTGTGTTCCTTAGTTTTGTATTTCTTTCATACCAATTCCTCCATAAATCTATAGCATTCTCTAATAAATATTCATGGACAGTTTTCGCATGGATGTATGTTTCGGGATGATGTGTTCGTGTAAATATATTTAAAAGTGAATCCGATTTACTTTTTAGCGATTTCGTTTGCTCTTCTATACCTTTTAGTATAGTTTTTCTTGTTAATGTGTATATAAAATTTTTTTGGATGACAAAGAATTTTTTTTCATCATCTGAAAAAGACTTATGAGTAATTTATGACATGAAAAATTATTAAAAAGGTATTATAAATTTTTATAACCAAAGTAAGTTGCATTTCCTGTTGCAGATAATCATATTAAAAAAAATCTAATTCATCATCATCATCACCAGCTCAATATATGTCCCCATCAACGGGGTCGGAGCCTACCCTAATAAAGGGTGACTAGGCCATAGTCAACCACGCTGGCCCACTGCGGGTTGGTTGACTTCACACATATCTTTAAATTTCTTCGCCGATATGTGCTGCATCACGATGTTTTCCTTCACCGTAAGAACGTCGGGTAAATTATATACATATGAAAATTCGAAAAATCATATTGGTACATCGGGATTCGAACCCAAGACCTGTAGATAACAAGTCAAGTGCTTAAACCACTGAGCCACGGAATACAGAAAAATTATCCTAAAAAAACAATTATTGGTTGATAGCAATAAATAAGGTATTCAATAGGAGCGTTGATGGCTCAGTGGTTTGAGCACTTGACTTGTAATCTATAGTTCTTGGGTTCGAATCCCGCTGTACCAATTTGATTTTCGATTTTTCATATGTACATAATTTACCCGACGTTCTTACGGTGAAGGAAAACATCGTGATGCCTGCACATTGGCGTAGAAATTCAAAGATATGTGTAAAGTCAACCAACCCGCAGTGGGCTAGCAAGGTTGACTATGGCCTAGTCACCCTAACGCTAAAGATTTGTATTTTTGTATTTAACAAATAAACTCAAAAACTACTTGCATAGGTTTCAATTATCACAACATTTACAAGGTCACTCATTGATAATGTCACCGAGTGATATATGCAGCTAAAATTGACTTTTAATATTAAAAAAAAAATATCTATACTATTAAAATAAAGCATAAACACACACCTCTTTGTTGCCTAAGATGTCAGCAGTTACAGCATATTTTTGAATAATTCTTTATTAAATAAAAGCCCTATACTTACTTCATGATTTAGACAATATATTTTCACGCCATTAAACTTAGGAGCCAAACTTATCTTTTGGATAAAAACCCTAATGTGGGAAAGAGACCATAAGTTGTTGCCAACATCAACAAGAAGAACAAGAAAGAAAGATTGCTAAGGTTTGTCATGTCATGTTATTTTGACATTTGCAATTGATAATTTGACAAATGTAAAAAATAAAATAAAACATTCATAATTTCATGCGGATGAAGCCGCATGAGAACAGCTAGTACATAAAAAATTCACAAGCAAAAGCTAATCTATACATACCTGATTCCAAAGAATTACAGATTTCCAGATTAAATGCACTGCTTGTTGCCCCTGCTTCATTTGAGTTATCCTCTTTGTTACATGTAGGTTCCAAAGAGTTAGAATTCTCACTTATGTTCTCATTATCAGAATTATCTGTACTAAGAACTTGAGCGTAGAATGGTTCATTGTACTGTTCATTTGAAACATTGTTGAGAGATTCATTTGTTTCTTCTGTATTTATTTCCTCTTCTATTTCTTCTACTTTAACATTTATGTTAAACTCTATCTGCGAAGTGTCTTCCATATTTTAATTTTATCCTCTCATTTTAAATGTTATCCTGAAAATCAAAGAGGGTAGTATTTAAAAAAATGTATTCATACTGATATAAATGTGTTTGTATAGATGTATGTTTCAAAGGTATCTCCAGAGGAATCAAATAGTTCTTTATATTATTATATAAAAATTTCAAAGTACCTACATCTTATAACTACCCACAAAAATATTTATAAACTCAAGGGTCACTAACTTTATAGCTTAAAAATGACGTCACTGTCAGATAAGGGTACGAAATCCGAAATTTCCATCACATTTACATGTTTGAATGTTATCAGACAATTACAATTTACTGGAACAGGTCCTTAGTGTTGAAAACTATATATAAGAGAAGAGAACTATATATCAGCAGAGAGGGGTTCGGAGCCTACCCTAAATTTACTAGGTCATAGTCAATACTAGACCACTGTAGAACTTCACACATATCTTTGTATTTCACAGATATGTACAGTATCACGATGTTTTCCTTCACTATATAAAAGGGTGAGTGTACATAATTATCAAATCCGAAAGACACATTGGCACACAGGATTCGAATCCAGGACTTGCACTTTACTATTCATGGGCTTAACTTATAAGCAAACATGACATAGAAAACTTTATTTGATAATCTTTAACGTTTTGATTTTACGTATAATTTTGTGAAAATATGGCGTACACGTCGGTACATCGTTTTTGTAACTACCAGCATATGTATTTTAGATATAAATCGAATTGTATTTTGTTATAGATGTTGTTTGGGGGATTTTATTGTCCAGTTTAATGTAAACACTTTACACAAGTAATATGCGAAAATGGCGTGGCTAGATATTGAAAAAAAAACGATAAAAGCTCAAAAGGTATAGATTTTAAACTACCTGTATTATTTTTCGTGCAACTTTTTAGCGATTAAGTTATTTTTTATCACATTTAGTTTATTTGTCGGGTAGTATAAGTTATTTTAATATGAAATAACGAAGACAGATAAAATAAACTTGACGGCACGACCAAAGAGTAAGTAATACCTTCACACATTTTCTTGCTAAATCTCTTTGTGTAATAATAGTTTCGCAATTTAAAGTTCATTTAGATTGGTTTTATAATATTTAAAGTAATTCCAAATAGTGCTTACATAGCAGGCTTAATTTTATACGCGTGGATTCAAAAGCATTACTATTCCGCTCTAGAATCGGATTAAATTAAATGGAAATTAAACATCTAAAGATAAAAGAGCATTTCGAATTTTAACATTTTAATAAAACATTTAGGCACGGTTATTTTGATTTTATTAGAGTACCCGTAGTACCGATTTCTAAAAATTTTTGACGTCATGTTCTGATAATTAACAGCTTTGTTATTTATGTTTTTCTTTAGCTACATTTATTTTTTATTTACTTAATTCTTTAATGAAGTATTTTAATATCGCATTCTAAATACGATTTACGAATACTCAGCTAAATTACAACTTATATAAATATTAATTCAATTGGACATTATTTTTTAATAACATTTCAACTTAATGTGGCAACTATAAGCATATCTTTCACTGTCACTGTAGCTTGCTACATTTCTGTAATTTCGGTAAAGTAAAATGAGATTACTTAAATATTGAATAAATGGAATGTTCAGGATAAAATAATGAAGGGATAAAACTAGTAATATGGGAGACACTTCGCAGGTTGCGTGTAACTTAAACGATAAAATAAAAAACGAAATAAACACAGAAAATACAAATGATATCAACAAAAATTTGTTATCTCTTAACAATGTTACAAACAAACGGGACAATACATCATTTTATACTGAAGTTATTAGTATAGATGATTCTGAAGATGAGGATACGGAACCTAAATGTAATCAAGATGATATTTCAAATGAAATAGCGGCATCAAGCGGATTTCTTAATGAGAATAATAATCCTTCGAAATCAGGTATTTTATATGTTTTTACTCTGATAATATTATACTGATATTATAAATGGGAAAGTTTAGATGGATGAATAGATGTTTGTTAGAGTTTGTAACCCAAATGGCTGAACATATCTGGATGAAATTTGACATAGAACATCTGGAAGAACTCATAGTCTACTTTTATACTCATCACCATCAACTTGCCCTTACCCCTTATGGAGGGTCGGCACAGTATGTGCTGCTCTTCCATACATCTCTATCAGCCGTCATATCTAAATCCACTCCTTTCTTAAGCATATCCTCTTTCACACAATCCATACTTTCTTCTGTCTTCCTATCCTTTGTATTCATCCACATTCAATCTTAACTCTTTATGGTTTAAGTCCCCATCATTTCGTCATATAATATGTCCATACCACGATAACCTTCTACTTTTTTACTACTACTTTTTTTTGTGACTGAAAGACCACTGTTAGCCTTCAAGAGTCATTTACAGATTCACCGGGCTTAAGGTGGCAGAACGCATATGGCGCATAGACTAAACTAAGCTCAAGGGCTCCCTCAGGAGCCTCGGCATGTGTCGTTACTTAGTTATTATTACCGCATTAGAAGGCTACCGAGCTCTTAGTTTGCTTCGGTGGACGCTTCATGCAGTGACTAGGCACAAGGGACCCCGAGAGGAGACCTTGGCTTGAGCTGTAACTCAATACGCGTTTAGCATTCTGATTCAAGGGCACCCGAAAGGGCTGAACCTTGACTTGATTGGTTGCTGCTATCTGATTATTAACTACTAGTTTTATACTGACTGTACATATTTTTTTTTTCAGAGAATGAAAAAAAATACTACATCATTTACCAACATAAGTTATACATATTAAGTAAAGAAACTATACTAAAAGGTATTGAAGAACAAGCTAAGTTAGTAAAAAATAAATCAGATTCAATATTGAATAAAATTATCCGAACGCAACATCCCCAATGTTACACACATAAAAGAACTGTATACGAAAACTTAATATATAATGCTATAGAGTACTGGAAACGTTGGTGTGAGAGCACAAAATTAAAAACTACCCCCATTTTATATAAATGTTACATTTGTAGTGAAGGATGGTCAAGATTATATCATTTCGAACAACATATAACAATACATGAAGAGAAAAATCTGACGATTTTACTTGAAGTTATTGGTCAAGAAACAAATATAATTGTCTCTTACGGTAATCCAAAGAAAAGTGAACTAGTTATTGTTAACACTGATTGTTGGAAATGTAATAAAGTATTTCAAAATCGTGAATTTATGAAATATTGTGTGAAAAGTCATACTTGCGAGTTGTGTCTGGATCAATTGACGTCTGTTGGATCACAAAGTGATTGTAAAAGCTACAACGATAGTGGGGTTTTATGTAATATATGTTCTATGAAATGTAGAAACGGATATATGTATAGTCATATGGTGTTATATCATTCACCGAAGTCTGACGAGCCGGCCATAACACATCCTAAGATATGCAATATATGTGAAGAGAAATATTTTTTTCTTCCTTACCATGATTGTCAGAAAAAATATAAATTTTATAGATGTCAATTCTGTTGCAATAGATTTCTAACGAAGAGATTACAACAATTACATATCTTAATGAATAAAGGTGTCAGTGAATGTCCAGATTGCTCGAAGAAATTCACTAAATGTTATTTAAACGAACATTTATTAGTCCATTCATCTAATTATGATGTGTTGCAATATTGTATTTTATGTAAAAATAACGTATTATATAATAATAATGAATTATTTACAAGTCATATGGTAAAACATGGCAAGTCTAGTCAAAGACGACGGTATGCTGCCAAGGTAGATCTTACTAATATTATAAATGCGACATCTGTCGATCTGTACACACAAACACACAAAGTACAGACAAACACACAAAGTTACACAAAGTAACATTCGATTATCTTTGTCGCTGATCGAAAAGTCAAAAATGTATGGAACTGACAACATTTGATAAGTCACATGGTTGTCACATCATACTTCATACTAATATTATAAATGTGAAAGTTTAGATTTTTTTTTTATAACATAAGGTGGCAAACGAGCAAACGGCCACCTGAAATCGCCTAAATGGCGAAGTGACCGCTGCCCATAGACATAAACGGAGGAGGAGATAAAGAGGATATTTCTTCTTATGCATCTCCTCCACTGTCAAATCCACTTCCTCTTTCCATCCTCTCCTTATAAGAAAAGGGTGGTAAAGAGAAAGGGACTTAAATTAGGCCTCCAGCACCACACTCATCAGACGAAACACGGAATTGTTTCCATTTCACGCGTGTCTTCTGTGTGGTCGTGGTATTACACCGGGCGTGCCGGCCCTGCAGTGCTAAGATGTTAAAGCGGGCACTACCAGATGGATGGATGGATGGATGTTTGTTAGAGTTTGTAGCCTAAACAGCTGAATGGATCTTGATGAAATTTGGTTTAGATGTTAAGGATAGTCTGGAAGAACACATAGGCTACTCACTTTCGGTTTTTTTTAATCCACGCGAACGGAGTCGCGGGCGAAAGCTAGTATTCCTATACATTCGACACTTTTTGTCGATTCTACTAGCTATGTTAATCGAAAGTTACTTTGTCTAGGGGGCTGATCTCAATGAAATTTAGCATAGATGTAGAGGATAGTCATAGATGTAGAGGAACACATAGGATATTAATTTTATTTTTAATTCTACACGGACAGCATCACAGGCAAAAGGTAGTGAAACACAAAATTTTCCATTATCTCAATTTGCTCTTGTCTTAGCACAATATGCACTTTATACATATCTATCAGCTGATTTTATATATATCTTAGAAGCATCGGTGGCTCAGTGGTTTAAGCACTTGATTTGTAATCCACAGGTCTTGGGTTCGAATCCCGCTGTACCTGTGATTTTAGATTTTTAAAAGTACATAATTTACCCAACATTCTTATGGTGAAGGAAAAATTGTGATGCTCATAGCGAAGAAATTCAAAGATATGTGAAGTCAACCCGCAGTGTGGTTGACTATGGCTTAGTCCCTAACTTAGGGTAGGCTCCGAGCCCCTCAGTGAGGACATAAAGTAAGCTTTTTATTGGACTTTTTGTCGCCCAGTCGTTCCCCTGATGTGTTTTTTAACTAGGAACATGAGGTGCAGGCGTTTCTTTATTTCAAAAAGTGTTTACTTAGTGACCTGTCGATTACAAGTCATGTACTCAAACCCGATCCACCAATCTTACTAATATTATAAATGCAAAAGTTTAGATGGATGGATGGATGGATGTTTGTTAGCGTTTGTAGCCTAAACGGCTGAACGGATCTCTAAGAAATTTGGCACAGGTTTAGAGCATAGTCTGGAAGAAAACTGGGCTACTTTTTTATCCCGGGAATAGTTACGGTTCCCCTGGGATTCATTAATTTAGTTTTTTAATGTTTACTCGATCATTCTGCAACGGTTCAACATATCTTATTGAAATTTGGCACAGATATAAAACAAAGTCTGGAGTACACATGGGATAACCTTCATCCCCGAGAAATGTCCGGTTCCCGAGGGATACGTAACTTTTTGTAATTTATATAATTTGTATGTTTTCTAATACCACGCGAACGAAGTCGCGGGCAACAGCTCGTAGTCTATAATGTAATTATATTTTTTTTTATTTATTAAGGCGATTTCCAAGTTACTATCGATTATTATCCTTAGCGAAGAAAGGATGTTTTTTTTTAATTCACGTTTTTTATTTTTTATTTCAGATGTTGTTACCCGTCAAATGCATAAAGGGCGTGATATGCGACAGTATAGTTCGTTTACAAGTACCTGGTGAGTTATCTATACTCCTATTCTACCTATACTAATATAATAAAGCGTAAACACACACTACTTTGTGGCGTAAGATGTCAGCAATCACAGCATATATCTGAATAATTCTTTCTTTAATTAAAAAGCCCTCCACTGACACGCTTTAGGCCAAGGGCGGAACCAGTTTTGGCGTCAGGGGGGATGTCACATAGTCGTGGTCAAGTCAAGAGCTTGACAAAATATGTAAATATATTTTACAAGCTCTTGACCGACCAGCTCGGGGAGGGGATCATAAACCCTATCACCACCCCCTCTGGTTCCGCCCTTGCTTTAGTATACTGCTTTAATATTCGCTATTAAACTTGGGGGATAAATAAAATGGAAAACTTGCATGTGGGAAAGGGGCCATAAACTACATGCTGCCAAGATTAAGGAAGAACATTGGCTAGGTTTTTTTTTTAATTTCACGCGGACGATGTCACAGGCGAAAGCTAGTATGAAGTATGAATGAATGAATAACGCCAACACACTCTTATATTAAATTATAAATATTCTAGCTTTCTCTCGACTCCGTCCACGTGGAATTTGAAAAAACCAAAAGTGAGTTGCTTATGTGTTCTACCAGACTATCCTCTACATCTGTACCAAATTTCATGGATGTCCGTTCAGCAGTTTAGGCTACAAACTCTAACAAACATCCATCTAAACTTTCCGATTTGTAATATTAGTATGATTAATTTGTATATTTCAGCAAAAATTCTACATAAACACATAGTTGATTTGGAATATATGAATTACACACCTCTTGAGTTATTCGAAATAATTAAAAGTAAAAAAACTAAGGAAATAACAGAAGCTTGTAATAAAAGTAATACAAACAAAACTACGTCTGTTAATAAATGTAGGAATCTAGAACAAAGTGTTATTACTAAAAAATTAAATAAAAAACAAATAATAACTCGAACAGTAAACAATTTACAAGATGACATCGATTTTGATGTCGAATCTAATAATGCATTCCAAGTACAATTAGACGCTGAAATACAAAGAGATGTTGAAATAGAGAAGCAAATATCGAAAGTTTTTGAAGCATCTGATTGTTACAAGAAGTTTCTAGATAAAGAAGCAAATGATCCAATCGACGATACTTACGATGTTTTGGATAATACTGTTTCAAATAATGATGAATATTTGAATACAGATACGAGTACTGAAGAAAATTCTGATACCGATATTCAAAATGAAAATCAATCAGATATGGAATATAATGAAATATTTAAATGTAATATTAAAACGAATGTAGATAAAATGGAAGATTGTAATTCAAATAAAGAAAAATCTAAACAAGAAGTAAATGAAAGTATAAAGAAAGTTGAAAAAGAAAATATTAATAAAAAAGATACAGATTTAATTAATTTAAACATTACAGAAGATAATTTGATATCCAAAGATAGTGGAAGTGAAATAGAAAAATCTGATATAACTAAAGATTTTAACGATAAAGTGACATCAGATTATTTGAATGCAGTTGACAATTTAGATACAGATATTAAAACTGATCCTAGTATCAATATAAAAATAGATACATTTAATACAGATATCGATGGAATCTCAGACAATATAGTACCTAAATATAGTGACAATTATATAAAAATTAATACAGAAAACATATCTGAACCTAAATATTCTTGCAGTGATTGTAAATATACAGGAAATTATAAACAATACGTAGATCATTCAATATCTTGTATAAACAAGTATATTAATTGCATATATTGTATGAAAAGTTTCCAAAACATAAAATCGTTTTTAAACCATTTTCCAGAACATAAACTGACATATTTATCCTGTCCCCAATGTTTTGAGAAATTCAATGATATAATTAATTTAAAAAATCATATTTTAACACATATATATGAGTTATTCCATTTACCGAATTCAGGATATGAAGGTTATAAATGTTCTTTATGCGAAGAATCAGTTGATATTGATAAATTTTTCATACATTGGGAATCACATTTACAATTGAACGAAGGTAATATGGATATAGACAATGAGATTGAAGTAAAAAAAATAATGACTCCTGAGATGGTAAAACAAGCTCTCGGTAAGTTAATTTAAGAATTTACTTAATTTATTTCCTTTATAAAAATAGGCAATATGCATATGACGCTAAATTGTACCAAACTTTTTATAAGTATACTTTATTATTATAAAAACAGTCCTGCAAATTTTTTTTAAATATAATGTGATTTAGTGGCAAAATTTAATCATTAAAAAGTGTCTTTTTTCAAATTCGCTCGCTAAGTTCTAAAACGCACACTATTGGTTGAAGCAAGTGGCTTATCTAATAAGGCGTCGCTGTGTTGACAATACACAGTTCATTTACGTTACTTTATATAGAAATACACTCTTGAAGTATTTTACTGTAAACACGATATCAAAACCAACTTTTTTAAAAAAAATAATGAATAGAATTATTAATTACCACTTATTTGTACCAGGAATAATAGAAATTAATCGATTTTTGAGTTTTTGACCTTGAGATACTTTGTTGTGTTTTACATGGAAGTGACATCTGAGCGTATGTTATGAATGGAATGAGACGATTGACGTCAATTGTCTCATGACAACTCCGGTCACGTTTTTCGCTCGAAAATGGTCGTAATTTTATTTTATTATTTTTAGCTCAATGGTTGAATATTTTCGCGTCAATTTTTTTTGTGGTTATTTTATAACAAGTATATTCGTTTAAAAAAAGAAAAAAACCGTGCATAATCCCTATTCACTTACTTAAGGAACTTGTTTATCTAAAATTTGTTATGAAATATCGCTTCCTTGATGTTGGCAGCAACTTATGGTCTCTTTCCCACATTAAGGTTTTTATCCCAAATTACTCCCCAAGTTTAATGACGTGAAAATATATATCCTAAAGCGTGACGTAAGTGTAGGGCTTTTTATTAAAAAAAGAATTATTCAAAAATATGCTGTGATGCTGACATCTTAGGCATCAAAGTGTTTACGCTTTATTATAACAGTACAGATAGAATTGCAATAATTTATATTTTCAATTTCAGTTATTCTAACAAAGATAAGAAATCACAATCTATTATGTATTGTGTGCAGTAAAATGTTTACAAACAGTATAAAACTCAAAAGACATTTGATTAACCATTTACTATACGAAGTTAAAATAGATATGCTTAACGGGGCTAAGTTAACTTGCCCTAAGTGTCGTATAGACATCAAAGATATCGATAATTGGATAATACATATGGAACAACATTCTCATTTACACAGTATATATTTTTGCAAATCTTGTCGTAAAAGTTACAAGGATCCAATTCTTTTTGATCAACACAAGGAAATGCATAAAAAAAAATACGTCTGTGACATCTGTGGTAAGAAGTTTTTTGTGGAATCCTTGATTATACAACATCTTGAGGTATGTATGGTTTTTTTACTGCTATAATTTTTAATATGTATATGCTTTTGCCCGCGACTCCGTCCGAAATTATGAAAAATTTATTTTATCGTTTACATTTGTCAAATTATCAATAGCAAATGTCAAAATGACATGACATGATGACAACCTTGCTGCCTTGATGTTGGCAGCAACTTATGGTCTCTTTCCCACATTAGGGTTTTTATCCAAAATATTAACCCCCTAAGTTTAATGACGTGAAATATATAGCCTAAAGCATGACGCAAGTGTAGGGCTTTTTATTAAAAAAAGAGTTATTCAAAAATATGCTGTAATTGCTGACATCTTAGGCAACAAAGAAGTGTGTTTACGCTTTATATTAATAGTAGCTTTCGCCCGCGACTCCGTCCGCGTGGAATTTAAAAAAAAACAAAAGTGAGTAGCCTATGTGTCCTTCCAGAATATCCTCTAAATCTATACAAAAATTCATCGAAATCCGTTCAGCAGTTTAGGCTACATACTAACAAACATCCATCTAAACTTTCGCATTTTTATAAAAAAAATCAAAATTATAAATTCTTTCTTTAAAAAAAAGCCCTACACTTACGACATGCTTTATTACACGCTATTAAACTTAGGGGGTAAATAAATTGGAAAAAACCTACATGTGGGAAAGAGACCATAAACTACAAGCTGCCAACATTAAGGAAGCAAGGTTATTATGGTTACGATATCCCCTAATCATACTAATATTACAAATCCGAGAGTTTAGATGGATGTTTGTTAGTTTGTAGCTTAAACTGCTGAACGGATTTCGATGAAATTTTGTATAGATGGTCTGGAAGAACACATAGACTAAATTTTTTTAATACCTCGCGGACGGAGTCAGGGGCGAAAGCAAATGTTTTAAATCACAATAAAATGTTTTATTTCTAGAACCATGAGCCTGTCAAAATTATTACTTGTCAGATATGTGACGAGGTATTCCGTTTCCAAAGTCAATATAAAAGTCACGATTGTATGCCATTACTGAGGTTCTCTTGTACTCTTTGTGAGAGAAAATTCCGCACTTGTAAGGATAAATTGAATCATTTATGGAATAAACATAAATTTAGCCGCCACTCAGCTGATTGTACACTTTGTGATAAGAAATATAGACGATTGCGGGATCTGAGATGTCATTTGAAGATGAAACATGGGTGAGTTTGGTTTGTCCCAATGTCTATAGAAATTTTAACCTCCCTGAAGTAAGCCCTCACACTTTTTTTTAACTTTTTTATGCAAATCGTTAGAGAGGGTTTGTGAAAGGAATTTTCGTTTGAGAGTTCCTACTTTCTTCGTAAAAGCGTGAAGTTAAGAGAAAAGGAAAATCGATCCAAATTTTTCCGATTTCGGAATTTCAAAAAATTTTTTACAGAAAAAGTAAAGACTCTCAAATTATAATTCTTTTCTCTCAATCTCTCTCAAACGATTCTCTAGCAATTCGCAAGAGCAAATTTAAAAAAATATGAAGTGTGAAAGCAAAATTCACGCTAAAAATTGAAATTGCTTTTACGGAGAAAATAGGAACTCTCAAACGTATTTTTTTTCTCTCAAACCCTCTAAGCATTCTCAAAGGATTTGCATATAAAAAAAGTAAATGAGGGGCTAACTTCAAGGAGGTGAAATTTTTATTTGATTCCACATTTGATATTAGCTACTGTCATTTTGTATAATGATATAGTTTGTCTAAATAAGATAGTTTGATAAATGACGCATGAAGTATCGAATTCAATTTGTATGAAGGCTGACGTACTTAGTAGACAGGTATCGTAGTGACGAAACACGCAGCGAACAATTATGAACTATCGATATTCGATTTAAATATTTATCAAACTCAACTAAAATTATTATTTTTTTATTCACTAATTTAGAGGACAATTCTGGTATTGATTGTAGTGTAGAGAATTTAGTAATGACAGATATAATAGCGAAATCCAATTCGATTACGTACGGCTGTAGTAGTAATAAACATTTATTTACTCTCATTATTTGTTATGGTCATTATTAATTTGGGAAAACAGTGTTTTTTTTAAATCATAAGTTGTAACTATAAATCGATAGATTCCAACTTCTATAAAAATAGAAATCGAAAATCGATAAGATTGATGACTGATTTTACACAACCCATCCCTACTGAATTGTCAAACTAATCTATCTTATTTAGACAAACTATACCACATATAATAGTGTAGTAATGAAAATTTAGAACACATGGATACTTGCTTTTTTTACCACACAGAAGAAGTCGCGGTCGAAAGCTAGTAGATTGTAATTTTAAATTTTCTTACAGAATAAAGAGAAGTGACGAGTTTGATAGATTGAGGGAATAATCTACAACGAAAGGGAAAAAGAAGAAGAGACAGAAGAGAAAGTGAATAAGCATTTACTATAAAATAGAACCTCGATAACTTAAAAATAATATGTTCCCTTCCTATCAGAGACTAAAACCTCTACAACATAGACATTTGATAACTTAAAACCTCTATTACTTAAAACATTTTGTTTCTCTTGGACTTTAACTTATCCAAGTGTGTTTATATGTAAAATGTATTACAATTGAAGACATTTAAGCAATATACTAATACTGAACAATTTTTTTTTACTGGTAACTTCTTTGACAGGTACTGTCAGTTGTCAAGTTTAGTGCCGTCTCGTGTGCTTGTATTGACATGTAAATTAGTCCCTTACCCTTTCCACCCTTATCCTTAAGAGGAAAGGTGGAGACGCATAGGAAGGGGAAATATCCTCTTTATGTGCGTCTCTGTCAATGAAGGGTAGGCAGCGCTGCAATTGCTGATGTTTGTGCAGCGGTCGCTTTACATTTCGGTGGATTCAGGCCGTTTGTTCGTTTGCTATATGATATAGAAAAAAAAAAATAGTAAATTATAAACTGAACAGTATCTAAAAATAAAAATTAAATATTGTTTATTATATATAAATTGCTTTATTCCATGTCAATACGCGAGGCGGCACTAAACTTGACAACTGTTACCTGTCAGAGAAAGTACCGGTGAAAATATTGATCCAGTCTCGTTTATATATTTCTTAAGTATATCCATTTTCTAAAATTCAGTACACTTAGCAATTAAGATAATGCATTTTTATTGCCTTATTGTAAATTTAATATATATTTACTTGTCTAAATTTTATTTAATATTCATATTAGAGTTGTGTTCAATTTATATATTTCAAGGTCATTTTAGACTACGCCAATTATAGTCTTCTAGTCAATCTATTTAATTAAATACCCATATTATGTAGGAATAAACCTATTTTTAGTATTGTAAATAGGATTGTAAATGTAATTTTAACTAGTATAATATATGACAGTTTATTTCGTCACATGATTCATCTCCCCTGCCTTATCCTACTCCCGTAGTGTCATCGGGTTTTCGTCTTCCAAAGCACTCTATCATCCGTCATCTCAGTCACTCCCTTCATCATGTCACCTTTCACACAATCCATCTCTTTCTATGTCTACCTCTACCGGTGTACCACATTCGTAACTAACATCCTTGTAACATGCGATTCATCCCTTCTCATAACATGCCCCCACTCTAACCTTTTACTCCTAATTTTCTCAACCACTGGGGCTACTCAAACTTCCTGACTATTTCGTCACCTGACTGATTTTTTACATCTATACATAGTGTGTGTTGTCTGTAATAATAAAATAAAAATTCCAGATTTCGGGAAAATATATTTGCGTTAGTGATAAATCGCATTTAAAAATTCTTGTCTGTCTGTCCGCAAGCCCGCGTTTGTAACGGGTAGACTCCAAAACGGCTGGGCCTATTTCGACCTTTCACTGGAGGGTAGTTGAAAGAGACAGCCATATTATAGGTTACTTTTTGATCTCAATATTGCGTTGACGAAGTCGCGGGCAACAGCTAGTTATAAATAAAATGAATCTCCTTTGTAGAATGAGATTGCAGAACAAGAAGCAAGCTCGACTTTACTCTTTTATAGCGGATTTCTCAGATAAATTTAACTATTTATTAGTTTTTGCTTCGATAACTTCGTGAAATGTGTTTCCGAACTACTTTACTGAAGTTTTGTTACATAAGTACCCTGTTGAAACATAAGTTAACCTAATAAAATCATTAAGCAATGATAAAATAATAGGGAACTTCAGAAACCCGGCATAGACACTCTGAGCCTTGGTCTAATAATCCGTTAGGCTAAGATTTTTAATGTAAAGCTCTCAGTATTTTAATTAATTATATAAACTTTGTTTATATGTGTATATAAGATCCACGGAAAGCGAAGTGTAGGTCGAAGAACGTCCTGGCTCAAATACCTACGCCAGTGGTATGGAAAGAGCACCCGTTAACTTTTCAGAGCCGCGGTGTCAAGAACGAAAGTCGCCCTAATGATCACCGAACTTCGGAAGAAGATGGCACTTCAAGAAGAATTGTAGCGTAATAAAGAATTATTGATTTTTTTTTTTGTTTTATTGTCATTGTATTAAATTTTTTTTGTGGAGAGCAGAGTGCCGATACTGTCGAGCAGACAGAATGTAAATTTTTAAAAAACATGAAAATTTTTCTTTTAAGACTATGAACAAAGTTATTTTCATGTTTTGTGTGAAGCAAGAGATTTTTTCCATTGACTATTACAAATCTTTTTACATGAAAAACAAATAAAAGGCGAAAAAGTTTTTTTTTCTAGACATGAGAGCAGTTTTTAAAAAAACTTGCTGTAAACATAGTTAACTACAGTTTCCTGAAGTTAAAGTTTTAAGGACATTTTCAATGTTTTTTTTTTTTAATTTTCTTGTGAGTTTTCTATACTATTATAATAAAGCGTAAACACACACTTCTTCGTTGCCTAAGATGTCAGCAATTACACCATATTTTTGAGTAATTCTTTCTTTAATGAAAAGCCCATTACTTACGTCACGCTTTAGGCTATATATTTTCACGCCATTAAACTTAGGGGGTAAATATTTTAGATAAAAACCCTAATGTGGGAAAGAGACCATAAGTTGTTGCCAACCTCAAGGAAGCAATTGTCATTTGTGCATTTGAATTTTGACATTTTATGCGGATGAAGGCGCACTGGAACAGCTAGTTCTATAATAAAATGATAACATTACGAAAGCCTAATTAGGCTTGTTCAAAGAAAAAGACCACTGTTACCACATTATTGACCGACTTCCCAAAAGAAGGAGGTATTCAATTCGACCGTATGTTTTTTTTTTTTTTTTTTTTTTTTTTTTTTTTTTTTTTT